GCCGCAACCGATTCAAGCTGGACTTAAGAAAGAACTTCTTCACTGTCCGAGCCCCCAAAGTTTGGAATAGACTGCTGCCGGAGGTGGTTCAAGCACCCACTTTGAACGCCTTCATGACACATTTGGATGCTTACCTGGCTGGGACCCTATGATCCCTGCTGACTTCCTGCCCCTGGGGCAGGGGGCTGGATTCGATGTTCCTCTGGGGTCCCTTTCAGCCCAAATGTTTATGAAATCTATGAAATCATCAGTCAGCTTCCTCCCTTTTACCACTTCCTTTAGAGAAATCTGTACCACCGCAGGGGCTAGTTTACAATTCTTTTATTTAGATGGAAAAGCTTAGACTGAAATCCCCAATAGAGGTAGTCCTAGTGACCATATACATATACTGTACAGTTCTATAATATGGCTTCTGGGAAGTTTAACTAGCTAGGAATAAAACTGAAACTATTAAATGATAATTTTAAAAAGTTACTCAAACCCCTTCATACTGGGGTCCATAAGGAAGCACATGTCAATACTGAAGAGATACCGGAGTCGTATTCTTCTAGAAATTATATTTGTATGGATGTGGACAATAATATGAAAAGATTGTACAGTTCTTGAAACTGAATGCATTTGCATAGTGCCTAGCCTATGGCAATACAGCCAGATCCATGACTGGGGCCCAGCATGCTATCTTAATACAGACAGTGTCTAAAATGTCTTACAATAGAATTTTTTCCAGTTAATTTCTCTAACAGTCTATGCATCATAACGTACAATGTTCATGTCAATATGCAATAGAAATAACAGAATTCAGAATTCATTAATTTTAATTTCAACAAAAAAGACAGTAAGAATCATTCCTTTCCATGCTCATAAATTTTCTTGGGGGAGGGGGGGATTACTTTTGAACATGAGTCATTTAGTGTGCTGTCAACAACATACAAACTTTTCCAGAATATATACTCTAGCAAGAAAATCCACCAACACTTTCTGGAATTAAGAATTTTTTGAATATCTGAATGGAAATGTGTGGTATGAAAGGTTTTAATTCAAGGAATTTTCTTAAATTGAAGTAAATGGTTGTGTGTATGTGATTATTCATAATGCATACTGTAGTGCAGAACTGTTATACATTTCTTCTAAATCTTTTTTGTCTTGTGTACTAAATTATACAGTTTCTGAGCAGCACTTGGCACTGACTGCTTCAGACAGTTTTATGAGAATAACTATTTTGTTCATTAAGTAGAGCTGTGATTAATTTCATGCTATACCATTTTCTAACTACATACAGACTACTGATTTGTGATTTCTGATCAGGCAATTCACTTGCCCTATTTTAAAATAATAGAATGTCTCACTGAAAAAAACTGACTTACTGTATTCCATGATCTCTGAAGGGGTCTTTTGTTTCAAATAATTTTTCAAAGCATCTTTCATTGGTTCATAAGTGATGTCACTTTGGTCCAAGAAAGCACAGAGTTCCTGGATTTCAGACGTGCTTTCAATAAGTGGGAGTCGACAAATTCCTAACCAGTTTCTATGCATCCAAAGATAAGAGAGAATAAGTTACCGTGTCATTGACTATTATTCCCATTCACTTTTTCACAATAGTAAAGCCATTATTAAGAACACTCATCAAAATGCTTTCCCACTACTGGTTCTTAATTGTAGCTTTTGGTGAGAGTTTTGTACTGAAAACATTGAACAATTCTCCTACTATAACTTTGATGAATAAAGCTAATGCACTGGACCTTTCAAATGAGATCCCCCATATAGTTATGGCTACAGGATTAGAGCTTAATAAAATAAGCATCACCCAAAATATTTAAACAAAAGGTGTATATAATGTTCCTTTAACATTCAAAAGAGTGTTGGTGAAATTTTCAATCATCACCAATTTTCACTGTTTGTGTTCATTAACACAGTCATAGTGAAGAGCCTGCATCACTTTTTGCAATAATATGTTTAATAGCCTCAGTATAGTAGAATATAATTATACAAGCTGGAGTTTCCTATCCTCTTTTGCAATGCTTAATAGCCTCAGTATAATAGAATTCTATGTATATAAAAGCCTTAGCCTATCTGTCCATAATTCTTTTTTCACACTTTAATTGGCTGTCTCGGCAGCCCATCTGAGTACTCCAAGAGCATTGCAGACAGCTGGCAGCGGTGTGGAGGAGCACCACCAAGATGGCGGAGACAGAGGGGATGGGGGGGTACCCCTCCCCACCCTGTCCTGTGGAAGAGGCAGCGGTGGGGAATGGGGTCAGAGCGGCAGTGGGGTGGCGGAACGGGATTGCCCCCACCACGATGGTAGGGGTGGGGACAGCGGGCCTGGCCCTGGCCCGGGCCATGGAGCAGCAGGGTGAAAGTGGCCCCAGCCCCAAAATGTTGGGATGGGGGGGTGGGGGGTGGGGAGCAGGGCCAGCCCTGCCCCCAGTCCTGGCCCCAGCCCCGGTCCTGGCCCTTGCCCCCAAGCAGCAGGGGCAGGGGAGGATGTGGGCCTCTGTGCCCACTCACCCCCCAGCAACTGTGGAGAAGGCAGTGGTGATAATGCGAAGGTGGGGGGCAGTGGCGATGTATAGGGGTTGCACAGGGGTGCATGTGCATCCCCTGAGAGTGCCACTGCACACCCTGACCAGCCGGGCTCACTGCTTAGGCGATGGGTGGGGAGGGCAGGCGGGAG